TACACACAAAAAAGGCCTTATTTTTTTTTACTATAGTAAGATAAGATAAGATAAGAAAGAAGATAAGATAATTTACCTGAATTTCGTACAGTTAAAATATTGAACTTCAGGATTTAACTGGTTCTTTTTAAAATACAAAATTGTTGGTAAAATTAGGCCGATTAATTAGAATGGGTCAAATCTGCAATAATTTCTTGGTTGACATTGTCTGAAATTACTTTTGATTTTGGGAAAAATTAGAGAGTTGGAATGCGTGGGGTGAATAACGGACGCCTGTACTACTGACATCTACCTGTGCCTAAGTATAGATGCTTTAATTTTCGCATGAATTCATACTCTCTCTCTCTTTTTAATAATGAGAGCTGCTTAAATTATGAAAACTAATTTTAGTTCAGGATAGGGATGGTTCACCCTCCAACCCTGTTACACTCTACTGTGCAAAGAAAATTGAATCGCTACACACAGTTAGCTATTTTAGGGTGAAATTTTGTGGCGGAGTCTATACAGCACCCAAAAACCCGGAGTGATATGAATGCGGAGCGGAATCTACTCTTTTTGCGGAGTGCCATACGCTTTTGTCGTGCTAATTTCACTTCGCATTCATATCACTCCGGGTTTTTGGGCACTATGGGTAAAGGCTCTAGCATCGAATTTCGCTCCTCGATGTTTAACAGTTTGCATTTGATATTTTTTCACGATGTTACGATATCGTGCTGAATCTTTCTAATTCCGGTTTCCAGAGAACTGAGTGAAGGTATCCATATCGTGAGTGAGGACGGAACACCTCTCGGTCAATCTCAGTCAGCGGCCAGGAAAGCTATCGCCTCAGTGACCTTTTCGCGTATCGCGATGGTATCCCCTGGAATGGGTAAGATTTAAATATTCTCCATTGGCTATCGTATGTTTTTGCCCGGTCGAATCATAGTGGCAGTGTCGTATTAATGAGAGGGCAATCCCTGGGGGGTATGGTAAGTACCGAGATCCACAGCTCTTCGTTGGGTCATATAACAAAGAGTTCAGGAAAGAGTAGAAGAAAAGAGGGATAATATAGGATGAGTACTGATGAGCTAAGGAAGAACGCCGTATGAGCCTTCGGAAGTTGTGTATGATATGTACAAAGTATGGGTTTTCAGGGAAATCAATGAATATTGTTTTTCGAATTTTTCAGAGAATTTTGCTCGTGATTAGATCTTAGTAAATTATCTGAAAATGCCAAGAGAAAATGTTCATAACCCTCCTCAAGAATAAAACTTTTATTGGGAGAAATTCGACAACTTTCGAATGTTCATTCGGCGATTTTCCTTGGCGCAGCAAGATTAGTAGCCTTACGAAGCATAATAAACGCCTTCATTGTAAAACGATACTTCCCAGCGCGGTCGCATAGGCCGGATTGTTGCATCATTTAAAAACCCGATAAACAGTGTAGCGACACGTAGAATAGTGAGTAATGCGGTTTTCCAAAACCCCAAATTTTCTACATGGAGGCCGAGCCCCACCCCGGCGTCGACCCCTTGTGGACTCAGGTAAAAAAGGCGCCTATAAGCGGCGAGTTTGCTCCACGTGCAAAAATCCCTCGCGACGATGACGCCACTATGTGCCGACTAAATGCACGTGAAAACACTCAGTGACTTAAATGCAGAACAGAAAAGTAAACCATAGAAAAACTATACCATTAATTTTATATAACGATCTGATGTTACCAAACATTGACAGTGACGTATCTTCCACAGGGTGCGTGAAAGTCACAGTCAAATTATGATACTCCTCAAATCATACCGCAAGATTTGTTCGCCTCATATAATGCTCTGATGAAGAGTAAGAAACGCCTTCATTGTAAAACGATTTTTCCAAGCGCGGATTAAGAAGCCGAATAGTTGGATCAGTTAAACACCCATTCCAAAAGTGTGGCAGATTGCTCGGATTAGTCATTAAATTTCATTGCTTGAGATAATTTATTCTATGATGAAGCGTGTCAAATCATAAGAAACGCCTTCATTGTGCAAAAATACTTCCTAGCGTTGTCTAGGAGGCCGAATAGTTGCATCATTTAAAAACCCAATCAACAGGGTATATCAGCAATCAGCGTGTAGTTTTGATTAATGAGTAATTCGGTTTTCTAGAACTCCAAATTTTTCCTTAGAAGGACCCCCGGCCCCCCTTCTGAGGGTGTCGACCCCCGGAGGACGGAGCATAACGGTGAATTTGCTCCACGCGCAAATATACCTGGCTACGGCACAGTGTTTCCATTATTAACGGAAATTCTATTTCTCCTCGATTGCAGTGCTAACGCCGGTGATCATGCAAGCATTTGAGAAACGAGGCGTGCTGAGGAGGTTTCCCTGGGCCAACACTCCGTTACAGATAATCCTTTGCGGATTTTTCCTCACTTTTGCCACTCCTATGTGCTGTGCCTTATTTCCGCAAAAAGTTCCTGTTTCAATAGAGAGTCTGGAGCCGCACGTTCAGGTAATGATGCTTATGATTTTCTTCCTCCTCCTCATCCCCTTGTTTGTCCTCTTCTTCTTCTCTTCCTTCTTCTTCCTCGCCTTAACCTCATTATTCTTCCCACCTTCTGTTCTTTCTTTTCATCTTTCTTCTCCTCCTATTTTTCTTTCCTTCGCCTTTTTTAAATTACCCTCTTTCCAGTTAAATCATTTAATGTTAACAACGGAAAGGAAATTATGTCTTCATAACATTGATGATATAAAGTAAATGATAAAACCACACTGTTTTTCTTCCATAGCACAGTTAATGGCTGTTAAAATTTAATCATATTTATGGAAATTGACAATTTTCATATTTTGAAAATTATGATTCATCGCTGCGCGATTCTCTTTAACAATTTTATTCATGTACCTACAGCTATTTATTCATTTACGTTTCATATTTTTACTAGGTTTTATATGCATATTATGTTATTAAATTTACTTACATTTTATTTATATTCATCTGTTTTCCAGGAAAGTGCGCAGAAGATTAGTCCTGACACAAAAATTGGATACTACAACAAGGGACTTTAGACTTAAAATGTTAAATATACTCAAAAACCAAATTAACTGTAAGCTAAGAGTTTACAAACATTTGAGTCGTCTGTACTTCTTGTTCTAAAAATGTTCGCTACCTAACACTCCAAGCATTTTTCAGGACATTTTTTACAAGTTGGAGATCACATCGTGATCCTTAATCATTTTATAGTGCCACTCTATTTAAGCATATAAGATTTTCTTTCTTTAAAGTTTTGTATCGCGTTAATGTTTTCCAAATTTCCCCGTGTACAGTGGACTCTCGATAATTCGAACCTCGATAATTCGAAAACCTCGTTAATTCGAAGGAAAGTCCGTTTCCCTTGAAAAGCTCTCGATAATTCGAAAAAAATCAATGTATTTTTCTCCCCTCGTTATTTCGAAATTTTTAAGCTGGCGCGGCCCTCTATAATTCGAAATTGCAACGTAAATTCTCTCTGTAATTCGAATTTTGGGAAGTAAATATGGTCCTCCCTCTATAATTCGAAATAAGACGGTACATTCCCTCTACAATTCGAAGTCAACTTTTTATGTACCTGGGTGTTTGAAAGAGCTGATAGGATTGTCAAAATGTAAACATGTAATTAATAATTTTAAAATTAAATATAAATCATTAATACTTAATAATAACTTAGTGTAATTTTTACCTCCGTAAAGAAATAAACTGATATTTTTGGTTCCTTTTGACGTAAATCCGTCCATTTGCCTCTCTACATTCGAACCTCTCTAATTCGAAATTTCTCAGCATGAATCTCTTTAATTCAAACTCTCTTTATTTCGAAACCTCGCTAATTGGAAGAAAAAGCCGATTCCCTTCAATTTCGAATTATCGAGAGTCCACTGTATTAAGTATTCAATGTTGTGGCGTGTCACAAATAACTTTCAGGAGCCTCTTAAAATTCATTAAACATTTCCCAAGAACTTGGCATTTAAATCATTTCCTAGATGCATATAGCTTCATTCATACCGATCTGAAACTCCCATGCACATAAACTTACACCTAGATCACAAAGTTTCATGTGTATGATTTTACCATGGCCGCATTCACCTACTTGCCGCCCCTTCTCATTCGTTTTGAAACTTGATATAAACCATCAAATGAACGTGTCAGCGAGGGAGGGGTGCATAAGACGCATTTACTCGTGTTGAACACATTTTTTGGGAAAGCCTTGTCAACACCACTAGCAAAAGTTTACGGAACTTTGCGCGAAAGTTAAGTTCCGGAAACCTATCTCTGTGTGGACAAGGCCTTCCATTCATAAGAAATGAACGAAAAAATTATGAGAGAAAAAACATAAATGTGGATCAATGATTTTAACTTCCGCCGTTGCCGCGCCGCGCCGCGCAGACCGCACCGTGTTTGGCGCAATGCGTGAAGTATTCCGACAGTTTTGTAGGCGCTATGCGTTTCACGCCGACCGCTGCTGAACGTACTGTGTTGGACGCAATGCGTGAAGTATTCATGCATTCTTGTAGGCGCTATCCGTTTCACGCTGACCGCAATGACAACATTGTGTTTGATGCAATGCGTGAAGTATTCGTGCAGTCTTGTAGGCGCTAATGTGTGTTACATACCGATCGCCGCGCCGAGGGCTTCTCCTTTTCATCTCAAGTCCTCGTTTTTATTTTTCTCTAAGTCACGCCGTTCCAGGCCAAATTGCGTGTTTGGTCTCTCTCTTAACTCGACTTGTTGAAGGTACTGTCTCTTGTAGCACTAAGAGACGACTAAATTAGAAATTACTATACTCTCAGGAAATGAGAGATTTTGTCGCCCCTTCTCGTTTGTAATTTTGTTTTTATAAATCCGGTTTTTTTAAATACCCACACATTAAAAAATTGCAAATTTTTGCCGCCCCTCAGATTTGCCACCACGGGCCGCTTCCCATGTGACCACCCCCTTAATCCGGCCCTGGATTTTACATAATGTTAGTATCTCGAAAGTGTCTCATTTTGACCTAAACCGATCAAAATTTTGGAATGAATTATAGACGCGCGTTGTTTCAATCGAACTATTTCTGTGTCAATCTAGATAGAGGCAGGACTAAAAAGTGAATTTTTCGGCCTTCTTACACGCGTTTTCTATAGGAAAAGTATGGACTGCGCCGCGCGCAACGATTACTATCATATCATCATTTTTAGAGAAATTTGATTTTTTTCGTCCATTTGATCTTCCCAACCAGTAAAACAACAAAAACGCTCGTCGAACTCTAATTGAACGTTGCAAACGTTCTGACAATGCGTCTGAAAACGCTAAAAAATTCAGTTTTCTGCCTCTATTACTTGCATCAACATTATTAGCAACAGCAACAAGAATCTATCGATTTGAACTCTCTAGACTAGAAAGTTAGATTTTAAAAGCTCACAGTACTCCGATGGTCGTGAGGTGCATCATATCAAATATGTGGCCATCCATTAAGGTATGTAGCGCTCAAGGGGGGAGGAGGGATTAGGGAGAGCGTTACGTCATTTTGTTTGCACGTGTTTAAGGATAGGGACCTACGCCACAAAAGCGTCAATAACTTACAATAGGGGAGGGGGGGGGTATTAAAAATCTCAAAAGATGCTTTGTGTAATTTATGATTGTCAATGAAAACGTATTGATAATAAGGTTTTTTTCGGAGACACACAATCATTATGAATAAGACGAGCTTTTTCATATTTGGCGGCGTTGTTTTCGCCGTGAGAGGCGCATTCTAGCATACACCGTCTGAAGCTCGACAAAGCTAGTTGAGGAAACTGCTGCTCTCTTTAGGTCAAACTAGAACTATCAGCTCGTACCACGAATGACTGTTCAGTGCTGCCTCCGGTGGCCAACGCACAAAGCTCTTTATTATTTTTTATGACGTTTTATTTCCAAGCGGCCGTATCCCATTTCAGCCATCTGCTGCGCGCCCGCCGCCAGTCAGTCGTTCGATAACGTCTCTGCAGCATCGAGGGACCTCTGTCGGATTGTCCGTCTAATAGTTAAAAAATCTGTTTTTACCCTCAAAATAATACCATTTACCAACTCGAAACCATTTTATTTACATTCATGGTTTTTGTAAGGTCCAAATTTCCCATTTTTGTGTTTGTTATTTAGTTGCGTTCTTTATTTTCACCTTTATGCGATACTTGTCTGGATCACTGAAGAGTTCTCGCGACACTGAAAACAAGAAAGCTGTGATTTTCAGTCTTCGCAAAAATCACCAGGAAGTGTTTGGTCCATAGGTGGTTTTTGAGTCGTGTGGGGGTTTTTGTTAATCACTATTTTTACCATTTACCATGATTTTCATTTTTTTCCTTTTTCTGAAGGCTTCCTAAACAGCTTGCCTTGCACCAAGGCACACAAATGGCGTGATCTTATGATGTGTTCACAATTCCTGAAAAGTCCTCTTAGTTAATGCAGTTAGTATTTTTAAGACCATCGCGTTAGTGGAATTATGGATCCTCCAGGATTTTCTTTCCACGATGCATGAACCCGAACCGATCGCTTTTCCTTCGGAGTGAGACGTCCGTTGGTTCGGATGCGCCTCGCTTGACGCGGCCCGTAGCAATGGCGGATTACCGCTCCCTGCCGATCATGCTCAGAAACTCCCAATTTTCGCATGAGAACCGCCGCAAAAACACAGATTTTATCATAAAGGATGGCACCGGCGCCTGACTCGCAAGCTCCAGCCCCTGCTCTCGTTCCATTGCATGACCTCTTAAAGCCGGAGGACAGCGTTGCCGGTTCGGGCGGTAAAAGCGGAAATGTGGCGCGCTGATTCGCGATCGCGGGGCGATCCGGCAGGGAGGCCGCGAGGAGAGAAACCTCAGTGCCTGGCGACCGCGTTGCACTGCGCTGAGTTGGCTCCGCCCGAGACCCGAATTGGATCTCGCTGGGTGAGAGATCAACATCGACCGACGCCGCCTTTGGGAACCCTCGCCGTCGTCATCGCTGCTGTCGGCTTTCAGAGCTTTGACCGTGTGCTTTCGAAGTTCTCTCCGAACCTCCAAGTAGAGTTCTGCCGTCAGCTGCTCCCGCCGACTCGCCGTTGACGTTTTGTCAACTCGTTTCTGATATTCTGATGGCCGATGAGAAAAGGGTAGACATCTTTTTTACATGGTTAGATTTATACATAGGCCGCGATTTAGGGTGGAAAATTTCGGGGGGCTGTATAAAACAGGGTGTCTAGTTTTTTTTTAAACTTTGGGAAATCCTGATTTTTCCTGATTTTTGACCGCTAAATCCTGATTTCACCTTTTTTCCGAATCCCTCTCAAATCCTGACTTTTTGCGGAGAAAAATTAACGGACAGACAGCGGATAATTAACGGAAAATAAGGGGACGGCGAACTCTTCTCAAATCCTAATTTTACGACCGATTTTTCTTCAAATCCTGATGAACTCGGGATTAAATCCTGATAGACCTCAAATTCTGCTAGAATCGGGAAAATCCTGATGCTAGACACCCTGTAAAATGTGCGGAGAGAAAAACGAAGATGAGGCGGTGAGGCAACGTTGCGATTCAATTCAGAAGAATTGGGTGCAAGATGACTAACATAATCCGAAAAATTGGTAATGAGAGAGTCTGAAAATCCCCATAAAAAATTTGTTGGGCAACGGCATGACGACTCTCCCCCTACGACAACTCGTGGGCGGCAACATTTTGGCGGTCTGTGGACCTTCCATACTCTCTGTCTATGGACGACAACTACGAAAATCCGGCAATACACCTTGGATGCACGTTAGAAAAGAAAATGAACGATCTAGTCAGATTAAGTATGGTAGTATGCAAAGTTTTAGACAGAGACAAGAGACCCTCCACTGGCCTCCTAGCGACAGGTGGAAGCTTTTACTTTCGGGGTTTCAACAATTCCTTATGGACAATTATAGGGAGCAACAGTCATCACCCTAGTTTCGGCTGTTGACCTTACCTACATGGGATGATGAGCTTCGAGATGACGTCATGAGCCAAATAATTTCCCAAACTGTCGGCATTTTCGGCTTGTTTGCAAACGGAACTGCCAACACGTTGTTGAACATCAACCATGTAGGTAAGTCAACAGTAGAATGCTGAAGTCCCGAAAGTAAAAGCTTCCACCATGGCCAAGATACTAGTGGAGGGTCTCTTGTCTCTGGTTTTAGATGATGGATGTTGGCAGGTTTGTCACGAAAAAATATGTGAGCGAACTCCCTCATCGCTTCTCAATGATAGTGAAACGCAATGGAGCAGGTCCAAGGTACTCTGGACCCCCA